GGTGCTGCCCAGTAGGCTGCAGTGGGAATCAGAGCCCTGTAAGCAATGGGATCACCAGATGTCCAGTGCAGCCACAGACTTCCAGTGGGTAACAAAGTTGGGATCGGGTTGCCAAGAACATGGTCCTGTGTCTAGGTCCTTCCTCATGTCACACAGCTGAAGTGGAACTTATCTTGAACCCTCCTCTGGAGTGGCCAAGACCAGAAGCTCCTCCACTTCCCAAGTGTCTTGAAATCATATTGCTTTTGAGAAAATGGCTGGAAGTTGGGTTTATGCCCCACACCCTAAGCCTCCCCACATGCTTTCAGGCTGGGAAATTCTCACTGTGCTCTTTCAGTCACGATTTTCTCCTGCATAGGGAGGATAAATGGACACTCTCCTAGATCATGCCTGCCTCTGGACTCAGGGTACTGACTGCCTGGATGGAGGGGGTGACCGAATGTGGGCCACACCTGAGTGGTCGTGGAGCCTGAGGTTGGCCAAGCTCTTCATTTTCTAATAACCAAGGTAAACACAGTCTTTATTGCTTGTTTTATTTCTTATGAAATCAGCAATTCGTGCTTGTGGTAGATCAGATAGAAGGTACAGATCATCAGGATTCCTTCAAATGTGGCCTTGTGTTTGAGCCTATGGATAGTGTTGTGTACAAGTGCTGTGGAGTCATTTAAAAGGAATATACATGGTGGTGTCACAAGCATGACCATGTAGGATGAACTTGCAAATACATTAAGCCACATGAAGGCCTCACTGTGGTTTGTCAAGATCGTCCTGATTCACAAGAACCTGTCTTTCCCTCTCCTAAGAGGGAGCAGAACCCGTATCCTTGAAACTGTGTTTAAGACTCCAAATTTGTTTCAGAGAGGGAAAAAAACACCAATGTTGGAGAGGACTATGATGAGTTTTAGTTAAAAATTGATTTCTAAATGTGGAAGCAGAATAAAGTAATACATGTATAATATAAACATAAAGCAAGCTAAATTTCATAAATATGTATTACATCTTTTTAAAAGTTGATATTATCAAGACAAACCCCCATTTTATCCTTTCTGGAAAATATTTTTTATTCCCATGCTGAAATGTTTTCTTAAACCTGGTTTCAGATTTTATTTTGACACTTGTGTTTTTTATATTCAGGTTTTTTTAGATCTAGGGCCGCTTTCATGTATCTTCTAATCACCTGTTTTAAATTCAATGTAATCATACACACATACACACACACACACACACACACACACACATGCACATTGATCAGGTGTTATTACCGTCCTTTTTCTGTATGAGGCAGCAGAAGCACAGAGAAGATACAGAATATGCCCAGGACCCCACAGTGGCATTCCCTATTGAATGTTTGTGTCTCCTCCAAATTAATATGTTGAAGCCCTACTGCCAGTGTGATGGCATAAGAAGCCGGGCCATTGGGAGGTAATTAGAGTTAGATAGGCCAGGGGGGCGTGGCTCCCAAGATGTGATTAGTGTTCTCAGAAGATGTAAAAGAGACCAGAGCTCACTGGCTCTCTGCCAAATGAGGACACAGTGAGAAGGCAGCCAGCTATGAGCAAAAAGAGTGCTCTTTCCAAGAACTCAACCTATCAGTACCTTGACTGTGAACTTCGCACCCTCCCAAATGGGGAGAAATAAATGTTTTGTAAGCTTAGAGTATTTTGTTGTAGCAGCTGGACCTGACTAGAACAGTCAGTGAAAGGACTTTGTGAATATTCAATGAAATAATGTATGCAAAGTGGTCTATGAGTATTTGCTATTGCATTATCACCTTCATCATAATTAGCATTTTTTATAACCAAGTGGCACAGGAGCTATTTTTCACACCTACTTCAATTCCAAAAGAAGCCACTGATATTGCTCCAGGAGAAAGAGGCTATCGACTGCTCCAGATGAGGAAGTACCCAGATTTGCAGGTGGCTTGTTGCCATTTTATGGATCTACATAGTCCTTTGGCTACTCTGTAAATGAGTTTTCTGGCCCATCATGAGATTTATACCCCTGTGCCATCAATACCATCCCCTTTTAGGGTGTCCAAGTCAATCATGACCAGTCATTTACATCTTGAGCCAGTTCTGAAATCCATGTGGATTTTCTCTTCCTCAGAGTTCTGTAAAAACATGAATGACAGGTGATGTCACTGAATAACTGACATGGGAGTGGACAGCTTGAAGATCCTGGAAAGGAGGCAGGTAATCAGAGAAAAAATAACGCTAAAGATGGAGGAGGCCAACCTCTGTCCAGCTCTGGGAAGAGTCAGCCCGATTTCCTCCTGGGACCTTCTCAGTATGGATTATGGGTAAGGTATGGGTAAGACAAGGTCAGCCATGAACTGTGAAGAAGTAGAATGCATTGGGGGTGCTGATGGAACTAGATTTGTATTTCAGGTTTAAAGATTTCACTAAGAAACTCTGAAGAATTAGGTTAAATTCCCTGAGATTCAGTTTTCACATCCAACAAATGGGCCTAGTAAATGCACCTTCTTCACGATGATAAGGGGAAGATGTCATGAGGTTACATTTGCAAAGCAAATACAAACTCTGGAACCAAACCAGATGCTGTTCAAGAGATGAATTAATAAAGATAATGTGGTACATATACCTAATGGAATATTACTCATTTTTGAAGAATGAAATTATGGCATTTATCAGTAAATAGATGAAGCTAGAGAATATTATGCTAAGCAAAATAAGCCAATCCCCAAAAACAAAATGTCTAATATTTTCTCTGATATGTGGAGGCTAAATCACAATAAGGAAGTGGGGTAGGGAATACCAGAGATACTTTGGATTAGACAAAGGAAAGTGAAAGTGAAGAGGGTATGGGGGGAGGAAGAAGAGTAGAATGAATTGGACTTTATTACCCTATGTGCATATATTGTAAAGGAGAAAAAAAATCAAATTTTGGCCTCCTCGTGATTCTACTTCAGATAGGCCAACTCTTCAGTCAGGTCCTTAGTCTGCATCTCCAGGTCAGGTCTGGCTGGAGTCAGCTTATCTGGCACTTTTTGCAGGCCATTGATGTCAGCTTCCACAGTCTGACATAGAGTCAGGTCATTCTCCTACCTGAAAAGTAGTTTAGGGATGCAACACACTGATTTGGACAAGGTCACTGTCATCTTTAGGGCTATCTGATGCACAAATCTATGCAACTGTTTTAAAGTAGCAGCACTGGAATGTGTGATGTGGTTCTTGCTTTTGTAACTCCCTTCTTTCTCTCCTGACTTTCTTTTTTCCGTATCATGATTAATTTTTCAGTTGGAAGGAAGGAAAGGGAAAAATCATGAGGTGGTGCTTTTCTACCAGCAATGAACCCCACTAGCACTGTGCATCCCAGGAAGGGATTTCCCTTTAGCTAGGTGTTGTGACTATAAAAAACAGCAGCCCCTATCTTTCTGTGCAGTTTCTAATGGTGTCCTAAGAGCAACTGAAAATTAAACAATAGTTATTATTTTGCTCAATTTTCTTCAAGATTTAGTCAAACATTGGTACTTCTTCATTATATTTTCCAAGATTTTATAGGTTCAGGGCCATCTTCCTTGCAACTTCCTATTTGAAAATTTTGTAATCCAAAAAGTTTGTATTCCTTATGTGGGGAAGTAGGGGATATGAAGAAGGAGATGAAAATATAAAAAAAAGTGGATGGATAATGTTTCAGTTGCATGTGCATAAGGAAAACAATTGTTTCACTTAACCCCTTGTCAAATACATTATTAGTTCATGTAATTCTTTGAAAATTCAAGTTTAGGACATAGTAGATTATGTTGAATTATAAGTCATCAAAACTATGGTGAAAAACCAATTTATTTTAACAATGTGTAATGTGAATTGTGTTTGATTCTAAATACTTTTTGGAATGGAAATCCTATTTTTATTTTCCTAAGCATGAAATATGTGGAGAATGTGAACTTCAGAAGATTCAAAATATTTGCTATCAATGGAGGCAGGAAAACAGAAAATAAGAGGACATGGTGGGAAAGGTCAGTTATCATCCGTCTATTCCACTCACTTCATTCTGAAGTCAAAGGCAGCCTGTTTTGCATTGCCAATCTGCAAGATGAGCTAGGCATTGCCAATCTTGGCAGAAATGATTTGAAAAAATAAAGAAAGACATAGAAAATAAAATACTAATATGCTAGTAGATTACAAAGATATTTTTGACCCAAAATTTGAGTGGTAATGTTAAATGCTGTTTCATTAAGAATTTTTTTTTAAGTGGTGTTTAAACTATAAGCCATAGATGCAAAGTAAGGGATTATGGTAAAGCCCTACTTTCAATATGTGTTCTGACAACAACCCTTAAAGATAAGTACTATTCTCATTTTATAGAAGATAGAAGAAAAAACTGAGACTCAGAGAATTCACCCAGCTAATATTTGGCAGAAGGAGAGTTCAAAGTCCAGGCTGCATGATGCAAATGGCAGTAACTGAAGAGGCTGTGTACACTCCTAGGTAAGACTTTATTATACTTTTGCTTTTTAAATTAGTCCTTCCCTGCATGCTACTATATTGATCAATGTTTCTGCCCTTCCTTAATGTTACTTCATTTCTTCCCTTCTATTGATATATTTAATTCCCTATAGTGGTTTCACACAACTGAATTATGCAAATGAAACATTAAGTCTAAAGTTACCCAGCACCTCTTTTTTTTTCCCAGTAACTGAACAACCTTAAAATGTTTTAATTCTCTAGACTTTTCCTGTTTGAATGTTGTAGTATTGTAGATCTATCTTTTTGAGATTTTTTTTAACACACACATATCAATAAGAATAGGACTTTACCTTGTTTTAACATACCGTAGCAGTTACTCATTACTTATGAAAACAATGCTTTCCCTGTATGTCCTATGTATTCATGTAAGCATATTTGTATTTCAGACACCCTTGATGATAGCATAGCTGGGAATCAAATTCTACTTTGATTACTTTGGCGCAGTTTAAGGATACAATATAACTGTATTCTGGTTTCTACTAGTGGTATTGAATAATAAGTAATACATTTATTATTTGTTTTTATATAAACATTCTATTCTTATGATTGTTGTAATTTTCTTGTTCCTAGTATTCTTTTTTAAATGTCTTTTTAAAAATATTTTTTAGATGTTGATGGACATTTATTTTATTCATTTTATTTATATGCAGTGCTGACGATCAAACTCAGTGCCTCACACATGCTAGGCAAGCATTCTAACACTGAGCCACAACTCCAACCCCCTAGTATTCTTAAATCTATAATATGCCTAAGTGAAGACTTATTTTTATTGATCTTGCTCAAATTATGATTTTCAAACATCCCAAATCTGTTTTTGATTATTATTCCCAAAGACATTTTTAAAAGAAAATTCTATTTGATATACAGCAAGTCTTATTTTGTCTTATATTTTGCTGAACATTTACTTTCTTCCCTTCCATATCTTTATGGCTCTCAACTAAATCATGGATATTTTCATGTATTTTCTAGTTAAACATATTCTTTGGGTGTAAACTGCTCTTTGGTACTTC